AGAGAGAGAAAACAAAAGATGGAAAGAGAGAGAGAGAGAGATTGCGTCGGTTATACTTAATTATTTTTGTATTTATCTGAGTCTGTTGACAAAGAAAAATAAAAACATTTCTTTCTCTGTAAATCCACCATTGCGAGAAGCAAATGCGCCAATCGTAAACTACGGGATCAGTTTCTCTAAGCCAATAAGAGTGTAGCGTTCTCTCCCTAACCGATTGCTATTGTTGGTAGTTTTCCAATTATAGCACTAGAGCGCATTATGCGGCATAATGCTTAACATTGAATGTTTCAACTACAGCAACGCTTCGCACAGTCGAGCACTCTCAAAAGTAGTGTTTTCGCTTGATGCGTGCAATGGATACCAACTCAGTGACAGAAAATTAACAAGTGTTTTTTCTTTAAGTTGACATTGATCGGAATGTTTTATTTATATTATATTTAGTAATATTATTTATTGGTGACAAAATTTTTAGAGCTTTCATTGCGTTGTAGGTTTTTGAAAATAATCAAAGTTAATTCAACCTGTGTTAAAAAAATTAATATAAATATGGATGAAGGTACAAGCATTGATTTTTTTTTTATATTCCACATTTAAAATGTGAATACAATTTCATCTTAGAATGCGAATCTAAACAAATTTATTTTACAGAAATATACTTTTGTAAACATTGCGATGGCTTGATCGAATCATTTAATGAAGCAGGCAATCACCAATGCTTTCGTGGAAAAGAACATATTTATCAAGATGAAGAAGACAACACAATCTTATTTGTTCATAATTACGAGAATGATAATAAAGAAAACCGTGAAGAGCAAGTGTTTAACAACGAAAAGTCTGAAGTTCATAATCATTTATTATCAGGTACAAATAGTTTTTATTGGAATTGAGTTTAATGTCTTATAATATATAAAATGGCTTTCACCAGTAGATTAAAATTTTTTCAAACAGTAATGTAATAAATAATTTTTATATTTTAATTAACTTTTCAATGTTTGAAAATGTTGAATTTTCTTATCAATAAGATATCTACTGATTAGAATTAAGAGTTTTATTTGTATATTTTAGATTACACTGCATTTATTGAAAGTGATGAAGACTTAAGTCAATCTGTAGATTTTCAAACGGAGAGTAATCCTAAGAAAAGTAAGAATTTAATTAATTTTTTAATTTTCCTTAACAATAGTTTGTAGACTGTACATTAGATTTTGAAGCTTTAATTAAATAATAATTGTGTGTTGTGTTTCTTAATATTTCAGATGCTGTGTGGACAAAGCAAGCTACGATGGCATTGCTTAGCCTATACGAAGCAAATTTACAGATGCTTACGGATATTGGCAAGAAATCAAGGGTGTGGAAGAAAATATCCGAAGGGTTAAAAGAATTACGTATACAGGTAAATATACTTAATATCATTAATGCTGAAGGTGCATTGAACTATTGATAGTTCTGTCGATTAGAGATCTTCATTATAAGCATTAATTTATGGTTGTACAGGTAACAGCAGATCAGGTTAAGTGGAAATTTAATCGCTTATATAACAAATATAAAGAGTGTATCGACAATAACAATAAAAGTGGAAGAGCTCATATGACATTTGAATATTATGAGCAATTCGAAGAAATTTTTCATAAAGAGAAAAAGGTTTCCACTTCAAGTACATTATCTTCTTCGATACTTACTACAGATGAAAAAAAAAGGAAGCATGATATAATCGGATCAAAGAACATTAGTAAGAGTAAAAAATTAAAAATAGATGCTATATCCAGCGAAAAGAATCTACCACCAGTTGATAAGTCTCCAAAACTCAAAACAACTCCGATTGCAGACGTTAAACAAACTGCAAGAAACCAGCAACGCATTCAAAGTATGGAAATTTTGGAAAATATTAAAGAAAACCAGAAGGCTAGAGATGAGAAAATGACTAAATACTTAAAAATGAAAGAGAAAGAAATGGATTTAAAAAAAAAAGCAATCGATGTTCGTGAAACTGAAATGCAAGTTAAAAGAGATGTTGCTACTGAAAAACTAAAATTTAATGAAAAGAAGCATAAAGACTGGTTAAATATAGAAAAATTGAAATGTGAGCTTCTAAAAAAACTATTAAAAAATCGTACTGACAGCGAAGAGTCTGATTAAACTACCAAAAATTTATGTTTAAGAGTTTGTTGTACCTAAAAAGTTTATTTTAACATGTCGAAACAAATACTTTATATTAAAATCTATGATTAAGATTTTGTTGTACTTAAAAGTTTATAATTACATGCAAAAACCAATAAAATAATATAATTAAAAATTTTTTATTTTCACTTTATTTTCAGTTTCCACTTCTGTATGTCGTTAAGTATTATCATAACTACACAATTGTGAAATTTGTTTAATTTAGTTACAACAGTAAATTAATTATTTAATAAATGTCAATTTTTTATCGTTGATTTTTACAATTTAATTTTTACAATTCAATATACAATTGGTATCGGAAAGTATAGATATATTTTCTTTTGAATTTATGCAACTTGTGCATCTGGAAACAATTCTCTGAATAATACCATTCTACGATCATTATCATTATTATTATTATTTTGATATTGTTCCTCATAACCGTGTTCCTCTAAATTTATCCCGACATGTATATTATCGTCTTCTAAGTTATCAAAATTGTCATGTTCATCGATACAATAATTGTGCAAAATACATGCTGCTGTAACGACCTCGGATACAAATGATAAATCTCTGTACTCAGTAAAGAATTTAATCCGTCGAAAACGACTTTTCAATTGTCCAAAAGCTTTTTCAACTGCCATTCGTGTAGATGAATGCAAATAATTGAATTCTCTTTGTTGAGGAGTCAAGTGACCATTATCTCGAAATGGTGGAACAAGCCATGATAGCGATGGATATGCAGAATCTCCAATTAGAAAAGTATTATTTGGAAATACATTTTCTTTATTATTGTGAGACTCATCATATAACGGTGATCTTCGAAAAACTCGAGCATCATGTAAAGATCCTGGCTCACCACAATAAATATTAGTAAACTTCATATTAGAATTAACTACTGCTTGAAGATTTATAGAGAAATATTTTTTCCGATTACAATAATCTACAGCATCTTGAGAAGGCTTTACAATTTTTATATGAGTACAATCGATTGCTCCTAAAATATTGGATATATTTTTTTTTGAGAAAAAACCTTCACATGTATTGATTATTGCATGATTAGTCTGAGGCCACTTGATAACATCATCCAGTTTCGTTAGAATCCAAGTTATGACACGGCGAATGACTCGGAATGTTGATGAAATTGAAATATCAAATAAATTTGATATAGTCCGCAATGGTTCAGTATTTGCAATGAACCACAAAAATATTAAAAAGCTTATTTCAGCGCTGATGGGTTTCATCCCAAAGGTATTCTTGGGAATAAAAGTCGATGTTTCCAGTTCATCTACAAAAAAAAGTTTCAGTAATATATGATATAGTATAAATAGTTAATACTCAAAAATATGAATTTTTAAAATACGTACTTATTAGACGATATGCAGTAGTTCGCGATAATCGAAAATTTTCTCGAAATTCAGCATCCGTCCAAGTTTTTACAACATTGAGATAATTTTCTACTCTTTGCTTTCGGCAACCTGTCATCAAATATTTTATCAATGGCTCAAATAACTCATCTGTTTCATTATCATACATATTTTCGATAAATATATCACTTGATAATGAACTAATTGATTGATTTAAACTCGGAGTACTCGATAAATCATCATCACTATCATCTGGGTAAGATGATTCAATTAAAAAGTATATAATTCTTTTAGAACTCATTTAAAAAAATTACTCAAAACAAATGTTAATTAAATAATCAAAATCAAAATTACTTAAAATAATCGTAAACAGTTCTCATACAAATAATTATTTATACCACTTTATTGCATGCCTCATAAGCGAAGCGTTGTTTACACATTAATGAGGTTATTGCTAACTCTATGATTATTTTTTTTTTTCAATACTGTACTTAGCGCACTCTACTGGTGCATTTGAAAACTAATTCACGTTCCAATTAAGCTTCAGCATAATTCAGCATTGTGCGCCACTGAGTCGCACAATGCTTTGTAATTGGAAAACTACCGTTCTTACCACTAATATCCGAATTTCTCAATACTTTACGCTGGTGTTTCTTTGTTACGCATTGTTACTCGGCTGTTTAACCCGCGACTAGTGTTAACATTGTCAGTCAAGCATTATTCTTCAAGGGAGTCAGATCGCCTTATTACTGGAATAATATCTTTTTGTTTTATCGCTAACCACAATTTATTGTTGCTTATGCTTCGTTGATTACGTTTGTGTATATTTATGTTTATTTAACTTTTATTTATGTTTGCTGTACAGTTTTTTGTGTAAATAATAATTGCGTTTTTAATAATTACTTTTTGGCTAGGATGTTTGTGTAGCTATTTGTTTATATATTTTTTTTATTTATCAACTAACAATTATTGTATATATATATGTATGTCGGAGATAATATCGAGCTGGGTTTTCCCAGAGATAGGAAATTCCCAATATTTCAGTTTGTCTGTTAGTTTTAAGCAAAATTTTAAAGCATAGAATATTTAATAATTATTTATAACTTAAGCCGATTATAATTTTTATGGTTATGGCGATGGGCTTGAGTCCGGAGTGACAATGGTCACCAAACGTAGCCGAGGTCACAGGATAGAAGTAAAAAGTATACAGTTAAAGATATCGACAGACAATGAGGGCTGTCGAAATATTTTAGAGAGAAGTACTTAGGGTACTTAGACGGATAGTTCTCGTTGAGCATTGATCAAGTAAAGATCGCATACATCCTGCTGACCCCGGATTCGTTCTCGGTCTTATTCCTCAGCGCTTTTACCTTGTATATTAATTATATTTGGATAATTAATCGTAGTATTGTTTATACAAGTTAGCGTACATTATATTTCAAAATTTAGATCAGTGTTATAGTTTAATTATTCTAAATTAATAAATAATTGAATAAACGAATCCAACGGACTGTACTAACGCCCCTATTAATGCTTTTCCGACATGTATATATATCATAGTGCATTGTTTCTAATCTTCATTGTAAAATAGTTATGTGATTTTGTTAGTTGGTGTACATGTGCTAGTGCTACTATTTTCTGTGCAAATACTTCTTTTTTTTTATATAAAGTTTATATGGATTTGAACATATAGGTTTATGTCATTATAATCATTGAAAGCTGTTAATTTGGTAAGTAAGAACATTTTGGATTTTTATTAGTATGTAATTTAACGAGATCTTGTTCGTAGAAAATAATAAAAATTAAAAAAGAGGTTTATTTTACAAGTATCCAAAGGCCGTGGTCTATAGTAATTATTTGTAATTACTTTTTTTTTTTTCTATTTGTAGTTATTTGTAGCTATTCGTAATTATTTTCTTTAAATTCGTCATTGTTTTTACAATTTTTCGAAAGTTCTTTCGTCACCTTGAAAATTTGCGAGTCATTTTTAACAATTTTTTTAGGTATAAGAAAATCTTGATTGAACATTAGGCTATATCTGGCGTCTATTGGAAGTCACTGCTCACGAAGCTCGGGAAAAATTTATTTTTTTAAAGATTCATGCGCAATTTTTGGATGATGTTTATAAAATATATAGATGATTATAGGAAGATTTTAATAACTCTTATAGATCTATAATCATCTTTAATAACTTATAGATGATTTTAATAACTCATATAAAAATTAAGTTTATCGATATTTATAAATTTTTTGAATTTTTTTTTTTTTTATAAATTTATTACTAAAAAAAAATAAAATTTCATTTTTCAAAAAATTGAAAAACTTCAAGTGTAATTTTTGTAAGATTTTTTTTTGTTGCAATTTAAAAAATGAAAAGAAACAAAAAAATTAGAAACGTCGGCTAACTTCAGTATTTTAGAACTCATTATGACCTTTGTAAAATTTGTTTATTAATTTACATATGAATTAAAAAAATCAATATATCTACATAGGGATATCCCAAATCCATTTAATGGCTATATATCGGTGACACCCTTCGATTTTTTTTTATTTGTTGTCACAAAAGCAAAAAGAAGTGTACACATGCATTTTAAGCTCTCCACGTAAATACGTACAAAATTTGCCGATTTTTAATAAATATTTTTAAAATTCTTTTAACTAATACCATAATTTAAATATTTTAACGTTATGGGACGAAAATTAGGTTCTACTTCCGTGGAACGCCTTTGATTATTGTCGAAATTTTTATAATCTACGTCAAAAAAATTATTTTTTTTTTTTAACATTCACAAATAATGAATGAATATTACTAATAATGAGATTAAACAAACTTGTAAAAAAAATTTCTTTTCTTCTTTTGTAATTGTGATTTTTATTCGTCTCTTAACTGCAATTATTATTTTCGGTCATGTCATAATGAATCAAAAATAATTTTTATTAATAATTTATTCATTTAAGTATCTTGCACGATTTATGAAAATAAAGTTAGCCGACACCTAAAAAATTTCATGATAAAGAATTGTTACGAAAAATTATTTTCATTTGTTAAAAACTTCAAAAACTATAAGTGGAATTTTTTAAAAATATTTTTTGACTATAATTTAATAAATGAAGCAAAATAAAAAAATTAAAAATGTTGGCTAACTTTATTATTGTGCACGATTTACTCACATCACTCACTTTTATCGAGACTTATCACGACTACTCGAGCAAACTTAAATAGTTAATCACTTTTTCTACTCTAAAACTAATCGTCTTGTGATATCTAAAAAATTTAGAACATTTTTGTCTATTTGAAACTTTTTAGGTTGAAATATTTCACATTTAAATTGATGAATTTTTATAATACTGAAATAAGCAGACATCTAATAATTCTTGGAATTTTTATAGCCAATCAATTTTTTTTATAAAATAAATAATTTCTTTTAATTTGCACTTATGATTTTCAAAAATGTGTTCAATTTTCTACACGAAATGTAAATACTATCTTTTTAAGCTAATATTTTTATCTATGATGCGTAGCATAGAATTTCTTCGTATACACACTTCATTAATAACTGGCTTTAACTGCAGTGTTAGGCATTTACATACATCTAATATTATCTTTTCTCTTACGCTTTCAGGAATCTTTAAAAATGAGCTCTGACGAATTCCCGCCTAAAAAAAGGAGACGTGTTGATTTGGATATAAATGTCAAAAAATTTACAGGTCGACCATTCCCTCCAACTGCTCAAATGTTTGTTCATCATGTGCATGCTTTTAACTTAAAAGAGCGTGACAACGGTGAATTATTGATACCACTTTCTCGTCCAAGGTAATGTTCAATTATTTACTATTATAATGAGAATAATCACCAAAATACAAATTTTTTTTAACAATTATGTTGGAATAAAATTAAAAATTGATCTGCGCACATATTAATCAAAACTACATAGACGATACAACATTACTTAATTTTTCATGGAATACTTCTAAAGCTAACCACATACTACTCATTTAAAGAGTAAAATATCCGAATTTGATTATGAAATTTCTATTTTATTTAAAGCTGTCTATGACAAAAAATGAACTTGAGTTTTAAAAAAATATTGATAATTTTTATTTACTCATTACGGATTTTAACCAGTGAACGCTAAAATATAGTTCTAGAAATTTGAGAGTTTTATATTGAACATCAAAGTTTCAATTGGAAATTTTTCATTTGTTATTTAAATATTATGCAAAGAATATTTATTAATTTTTGAACTTTATATCTCTTCTCTTCATTTTGAGGTTTATATTTATGATGCTGAAATTATTTGTGTATGAAAGTGATGCTAACTGAACCAAAAGTTTTATGATCCCCGTTTTTTTTTTTTTTTTTTTTTTTTTTTTTTTTTTTTATATCAGAGTATTTATAAGTGGATATAATTAAATTAAAAAATCAACAATCATTGTGGATTTACTCCAAGTATTTATAAAAATAAAAACATTGTTACAAATCAGTTCATTGAATCATGGATGACACAATAGTAACTCCAACACCTGAAAATATTGTTAATCACGATGAACTTATCCTTCAACAGCAATGGAACATTGAGAAAGAGATGTCGAAATTAATACTTCATATTGGCGAAGAAAAATCACTGAAAGTTCTTGAACGCGAGTATCCAGAAGAGCAAGTGTATTGTTTAAAGGTTATTAATTATAATTTAACTAATTTTTGCTTATTTTTTAAAAGCAAGATACAAATGAGAATTTCTAGGATTCGCGATGGTTTATACTATGCGGGTTAATCTGTCGGTTGCCATTGTGTCGATGTTTAATTAGACGGCCTACTCTGATAATAATGACGTCAATGATACATTTGTGCTCGTAAGTTTTTTTTTTTTTTAATTAATAATTCCATGAAATAAAATTATTTTATTGAAGATTTTGATTGAAGTGAAGTGAATATTCAATTATTTATCATCTGTAAGTCACCCATTTATCTCAGCGGATTCTAGTATTAAATTCCTTTATTTGACTAGTCATTTTGGATTTTGGAAGCTTACCAGTCAAAATCCTCCGGAGCTGCTGATCGCCAGGAACGAGCAAGCGATCAGCGACCGCAAGCGTTTGGCCAAGTCCTACCAGGTCCAGGACCAGCAACACCTGGACCAGAGCAGCGCCAACTTCCCCGCTGAAGAGTCTAGCTCTAACAGCTACGGAGACTCTTCCAGAACTGTCACTTCGTCTATGTTCTCACGTAAGTACGTTCAGCCCTCCGAGATTCTATCAGACTTTTTTTTTGCAGACGATGAGGCTCCTGGGAGTCAGGAACCAAACCTCAATCTCGAGAACCGCAAGTTTGTAGTGAAGAACGAACAGGATCTGGACCATATACTGATTGACAAGGACCAAGGTTTAGATCTGGTTATCTATGTTCATTAAAATTCTGGGCTGGCTGGCCGTTAGCTTTTTACCTATTTGGAACTGTAGATATAATGTGGTTCGTATTTTGGATGAAATTAATTAAGGGTGTAATAGTAAGTTTAAATCGCATTTGTTGAATTATTAGCTAATTTAATTAATTATTAATTAAATAACTAACTTTTTTCAACGTCATTTATCTCCGTTTTTACAATATTATTATTCAGTATGTAACAAAATAAATATAAAGGCCAAACTCTAAAATATTTCGTTCCTAATACAAATTCTTATACATGCATGCGGGTCTCTACTCTCAAGTACCTACTTTTATGACTTTCAGGCCATTGCGGCCGCAAATGCATCCCTTGTTCTCATCAACCCGAGCACTCATCTGGTTCGGCTTAAATATTTTCCGTTGTTACTTTCCTTTTTTTTTATATGTAATTTTTTTATCAAAGGTTTTTCTCAAGAATATTTCTCCGAATCTTTCCTACTTGTTAAGAAATAAAAAGAGTCTCTATACGCTAGAGTTAAAAAAACACTTCAGTAAGCGTCAATCTTCAGCAATCTTTTGAACACGCAACTTCACGATATCCATCTCCAAAATTCTACCTATTTTCCCAGTCGATTCAAAGTTATCAGTCTTTTGTGGTGACTTATTCACGTGCTATCAAGTGTACACAGTGCATTTCGTCAATCGTTTGTTCGATCAATCATCAAGAACTATTATTCACCATCTCAAAGCATCTTCAGTCGCCGAAAGAGGTTTCATCAACCGAAATCTTTCAAAACTCAACAAAACAACCTGTTGTATACATCAAGTCAACTCTGCACGTCGTTGGTGTAGTATTTTATTCTAAATAAAATACTCAAAGGTACGTACATACTGCAATTGGCCAATTTCACTCAATAAAAACACATCAACTAATCAGAATTGTATTGTCCACTCGACCTTTCGTGGATTATACAATTTCAAGTTGCCTCTGTCATATTGTGACTTCTACGATAGTCTTTACACTTTCAACTTGACAACTAACGCATGATTTGACTACTGAAAAGTCAATCTTAAATAAATCTTGTCGGGGCTCTTCCGTCGTGACATGTTTCCTCAACCATTCAAATCTCCTAACAACAAAGCATGTATCAAGCCCAGAGGTAGGCTGTTCAGGACCTATCACATAGGCCTGAATCGACTCTGGCACCTATCAAGCCCAGAGGTAGGCTGTTCAGGACCTATCACTTAAGCTTGAATCGACTTTGGCATCACAATCTACCTTCATTCATTCATCTCAACAATTGAGTCTTCTGAAGGAGCTCTTCCAGGCATCTCAACCTGGAACTCTTCTGAAATCAAATCAGCCTTAATTTTCATATACAGTCCACTGTGCTTTCAAACCTATTACGCTATCTAGACCAATTTTTTGAAACCAATCAATTACAATGTGATATTTTATTCACAGGGAACATATTGAACGAGCTATAATCATTGTCTGCACGAGCAACCAGTTGAATTACATCTGGGAAGGTGATAAATCTCCAACCAGCATCAGGAATTTACCTGGCCTATATTAACGTCGCACACCATAGAACCTCCGACCTAAATTATTAACAAGCCCTTCTACATTATCATCCTGGATTCACCAGCACCAGATAAATTTATTGTCATTGTATTGGTTGGTATCGTTTGGTTACGCGCCAAAGGCTCAATTAAATTTTATATTAATACGCTACAATAAAAAAAAGCAATCAAACAGCATTGAAGATAGATTTGTAGATAGACAGTCATTTAATCAGCGGAAAAATGTGGAATACTTCTTTATTACTTTGAATAACTATAAAAATTTAATTATTATTAATTTATTTAAACTGATCAGTCATTTGTCAAGTAGTATTAGTTGTTGTTTAATTTTGTTGCTGTTTAATTTATTTAATTATTATGACTTCTTGGGCAAAAGTTTCTCATTTTGAGATACTTGAAACTATTCAAAAATTTGAAATATGTGAAAAAAATGGTAAAGTAAAATCTCGGTCTAACCCAATCTGGAAGGAAATTTGTGCCAAATGGAAACCGGATTCGGGAAGTTACCGCATGAAACCTTTAAATTTGTATTTTTATACTTCACAAAATCGAAATGCGATTCTTACTAGTTACATTAAATGTCTAAATATAAATGAATCTGAGGCTGAGGTGAAAGAAACTTGTGCGAATGACAAGTCACCGTCAGCAAGCGATGATAGTAGTATTTTAGACGATACAAATGATCCTGATTTTACACTCCACACTCAACGGAATGATCATCCGTGTAAAGATAAATTATTGACATTTGTCATAAAATTTCCCACAGATGTATGGACTTTAATTAAACCTATCCAAAAAATTGACAAAAACAATCGACCGTACTTGACATTGCAGGAGAATTGGACACATACGTTAGCAGATTTAATTTACTGTGAAAAGAAATTGCCATGTGCATTTAGTTTTACAAGCAATAAAGTTTTTTGTGTTGAGAATGAAGATAACGAAAGTACTGAAAATATTTACAGAGTTAAAGTGAATGGTGTTTGTGCTGAAAATAATTGTCAAGCTGCTATTTATGGTGAATGCAATTATAATACCGATGATAATAATGCTGAAATGACTATTTTCACTTTAAATACAAAAACAATTTCCCATTATAAAAAAACGTTACGTATCGAAAGGAAGAAGAACAGAAGTGAAGAAAGAATTAAAAAATAAAAAAAGCGCGATGTACCGAGAGGAATTGATTTTAAGATTTCAGGAATATGGAGATCAGGTGTCACCGCTTATCCCGTCAACTAAGATTTTAAACGAAATCAAACAGGAAGCTGAAAACGAAGATTTTGGATTACGGGGAAATTTATGGGAAAATTTAAATCGAATAAACTGGCTTTGATAAATTTTTTGCGTTTTACTGGAGCATTGAACAGACTGATGTGTATAACGATGTACTTAAATTAAACCCTATAGTTTCTATAGACGCAACTGGAAGTCTAGCTTTTGAAATAAAGCATGATGGACGTCTTTCAAATGGACCAATATTTCTATATCAAATAGTGACTCACATAAATAATTTAATTGTTCCAGTATGCCAGATGCTTTCAGAACGCCATGACACCATAATTATTACAACGTGGCTTCGGGAATGGATTGCAAGTGGTGCTCACATTCCACAGAATATCGTGACTGATATGTCCAAGTCTTTACAAAACGCGATTTGTTTAGCAACAAAGAATCAAACTTATGGCGAATATTTAGAATGTTGTTATCAATATTTAATCGGTAAGGATCAGTCTGTGTCAAAGCCATCCTTAAGGATCGACATTGCGCACTTAATTCACTGGATATCTTCTTTAAAATTTTTTACAAATGCGAAACCAGGCATTAAAGATTTTTATTTACGTGTTATTGGTTTAATGAGTACAATTGAATGTTTTGATCAACTTAAAAAATTGATGACTGCCACTTTTAAAATTTGTCAAAATAGCTATGGCTGTAAAGAAGATATTCAATGGATTTTATCCAAAATAGAAACTTTCAAATTTGATAGTACTATTGACTATAAAAGTATGCGGGAAACAACTTTTTGTAGCAAAGAAAAAGAGTGTGATGAGCATTTAGTATGTAATGATGATGATAGAGAGGAAACATGTGATCAGGAACTTGAAAATTTTATTGATAATCTTGCTAAAGAGACTTGTATTGTTAATACGAAGTGTGATCTTGCAGTAAGCTTCGATGATATTAATTCATACCATTTTCCCAAAATTTTGGGAGAATTAAAACGTTTATTTAAAAAATTTCCTGCTTGGACCAATGTAATGCGAACAATTTTTGGCTCCGACATTATCGTTCCAACATCTGCAAGATCAGAAAATTATTTTAGGACAATTAAAGAAGAGTTGTTAAATAATCATCGACCTAGTAGTATAATTAAAATACTTGTAAAAAACATGCGATCCTTAAAAGCCCGAATGATCGAAGCTAGATCTGAAATTGATAAAAAAAAACCGTTAATGCAATCAAAATTTAATGTAAAAAACAGTACCAAAGCAAATAAAAAAAATAACGATGTATTGAATGCCTGTGAAAACTGGAAAAACAAACTGAACGTTGACGAAAACTTCAATTTGACCTCCAAAGACAATGACACTCTTGTAATAACTAATTCGATTAGTTCACTTCCCATATCTATTGATGATTCAACGGCGCCTAATTCTTCACTGGCTAATTTGGCATCTGTAAAAAAGCATGCAGACTCACCTGTTTTGGACTCATCACTTTTCTTCTCACCTGGAAAAAAAACAATTCTCCTCTATTGAAGTCTGACTTAATTAAATCAATGTCTGAAAATAAGATAGAAGATTCGTATCAAATTGAATCTCCATTATATCAATCTACACCAGAAAAGAATGGCCAAAATATTTTAATTTCATCGACTTCCAATGCACTTTTTTTCACTCAAAACGCTGACGATAGTTTTAGTATTATATTAGAATCACCTAAAAAATTTAATTTGAAAACTGAAAAACTACCAACAAAACGGAAAATCGTGCAGTCTGAGCCAATAGTTTACAAAAAAAGAGGTAAATATGTTACTCCATGTCCTGATGTGCAAACTCTTCACGAAAATATTTTGAATAAAAAATTATCTAAAATAAAGAAAAAAAAAGCGCCATTCGGCGGTATGGCAGCTCCCATATCTTCTATTTTACGATTAATTAATTTATTCGGTGTTCTTTGAAAAATTGGGATTGTATCTATAGGAGACTCTGTACTTATATCATTTGAATTACTTGAATATATTTTTGACTCTACGATTTCTGATTCTTCAGTATTTGATTCGTCATCTGAAGTGTCGATAATTCTAAACGTATTTTTACTAATGTTTTTATTTATTCTTTTACGCGTACGAAATATTGGAGGTGTAAAATCTGCAAACTTTTGTGTTCTCTTATATTGAAGAGGGATAAATCTATTTTTGAATTTATTATTTTTAGTT